CATCACAGCTCCTTCAAAAGCAAAGCTCCGCACATCCTAGAAAGCCTGGTTTTGCTCCTAGAGATTTCAGAGTGGGATTTCACCAACAAAGCAGGAAATAAGTTTCCTCTTCTCTCACATCCTGGACCTATCCATGTCCCCAGCCAAGCCTCAGTCAATACAAGCTTCCTGGGTATTAAACACTCTGCCTGTTTTTTGGGGTTTTTTTTTGTTCCCAACAGCCTTGCCACTTCAATCCCTTAATTGTCAAGATCTGAATTTTTGCAGGATACACAGTTATTTTAATCTGTTAAGTGGCTCTGCTGCTATAAAACTGACAGGAATTTAATATCTGGAGACTGTCAGCTGAGCTCCAGGTGCTGAGGCTTTCTAGATGGCGATGATGCAGAAGGAAGCACAGGCTGGTGCAAGGCACACAAGCACAAAGCGGGCAAGGTCCCTTTGCACTGAGCTCTGACCCTGCAGGGTGCTGAGCAGTGGGGCAGGCAGTGAGGCTGCTGAGCTTCTCCACATTTCCCAGGAGCCGTTCCCCAGCTGCCTTTGAGCACACTCAGAAAGGAGATGTTGCATTGCAAACACTAGTACAAGTCAAGTAGAACAGGTCATTCTTTTTAATAAAGGAAACTTTTCCTCTGTAGCTTTTCTCCTGCAGTCAAGCCCGTCACAGACCCGCTTTCCCTCCAGAGGCTGTCAGCTGTGCTTCAGCCATTCATCAGAGGGAGTAAGCTAGCATGCAGGAAGGAATGAAGGGAAATAAAATCCCAAACCAAACAAAAACTAGATTTTTTTTTTAGTCCTTCCCCTCCTACACACATTGCTGGCCCTGAGTGTGGGAGCCCAGACCCCCAAAATCCCTCCCTGCTGCAGGGCTCTGCCACTCAGCCACTGTGGTCTGATACAGGTGCAGAAAAAGAGATGACCAAGGGTTTATCACTCACCTGCTCATCTCCTGCTCCCTCACAGCATCCCCAGCCACAGCCTGGCACAGGACACAGGAGCCAGCACACCAGCAAAGCATCGCCGCAGAGCCAGCTACAAGCACTCCTCACAATTAATTTGGGATTTTGCTTGTAATTAATCCCGCGTATCAGTTCCCCTCATTATTCCTTAATGTAATTAAGTTATTAGTTTATATGTCCCCCCCAAAAGCAGAGCAGGGGGATGGATCAGAGGGAGGCAGGGGAGATGCCGGGCAGCAACATGGGGCCATGAGCACTGGAGCTCATGCCAAGCCCCACCACGGCCTCCCTGGGGGACCTCAGGTGGGTCACTGGCAGCCTCATTTTCCAAGAGGATAAAATTATTCCAATTCCTCTGGAGTCCACCAGAGACAGAAGGGTACAAAGTTCAATTAGCCTCTCTGGGTCCTGGTTTATCCAGCTGGAAAACTGCCGGGACAAGGAGACAGGCTGGAACTAATTAAAGCTTGCAAAGTGCTTGGAAACCCTCCGCCAAAAGGCTGGGGAGGAGGGAGGCTCAACGAGTCCCAGCTGATCCATGACCCGGGGCAGCCCCGTGTCCTCACAGCCCCATCCATCAGGCTGGGCTTCCCTGCAGGCTGGGCTGGTAAAGCTCCCTGGCAGGGGCAGGCACCCTGCCACAGCTCCTTCTCCCAGCCAAATCACAGGACTGCACAAAGGGCAGCAAAAGGCGAGTGTTCTAACAGGGCTTGATCTGCCCCTTGGAAAAGAGAGAAAAAACAACCCCCAAACCCCAAGTAACAGAGTCAAAACAGCACTGGAGGGACTGATGAACTTATCCCAGGAACAACTTCATGGTCCTAAACACGGCCAGTTTTGTTCTTCCATACCCTACCAGCCCTGCAAGGTTGCTACACCCCCCCAGCCAGGAGGGAGTCCCACACCCTAAAATCCAGCCCCAACCTGCTGCTGCTGCCCTGGCATGCACCACCAGCAGCTGCAGGCAGCAGGGAGGAGGAGGAGGAGGAGGAGGAGGGAAAGGAGGTGGCAGGGATTGAGGGAAACAAGGGCTGGCAAGAAGGGGGGGCCCTCTGCCTGCCTACCTGCCACTGGGCAGCAGCAAGAGATCCACAGAGATGGACTGCAGGGGAATACAAGGGAAAAAAATTACAGGGCAAGCTGAAGCCAAGTTAATTACAACAGACTGCTGCACCCACCTCGTTGGGCATGAGCAGCTCAGGGAAGCTCAGCTACTGGTGCAAGACCTTCCCTGAACGCCTGCCTTCACCATGTTATAGGTGAAAGTTAAGACCCTTCTCCTAGAACATTCCAATAAGCCCCCCCCCCATAACATAATACAATTAATATAACATAATTAATACAATATAATTGAACTATACCCTAATTTAACTTAACTTTTACCTATAACAACTAGGTCCTTAAGATGCCAAGCCAGCAGCATGTTTTGGGCAAAGCAAGGACTCTAACACTGCACTGCACCCCTCACACCAAGGTCCTGCCCCTTGGAGACCCTACCCACCCCAGCACAGGACTGCAAGAAAAACATCACAAGCTTTCCTTTGGGAAGTTGCAGCCTGGACCTGGCTCGGGATTTGGGGTAAAGCAGAGGGCAGGGTGCAGACCAAAATAACAGTGATTGATGGGCATCCAAGGAGCCAAGGGCAGCAGCTCTGTGAGCTCTCAGCAAGCCCCCAAAGTGCCACAGCCAGCCAGGGAGCTCGGGCACTGCCATCCTGCATGGATGTGTGCTGGGAGCCCTGCTGGGGACAGGCACGGGCAGCAATGCCAGCTGGAGCTTAACTGGAAAGGTCTAAAGGTTAAACCTGCACAAGGCATGATGCACGGTGTGCCCATGTCCACAGAACACAGCTCAACTGGGAGAGGAGGGGGGAGGCAACAGCTTGGAAAATGCTGCCAGGAAAGTTTATGTGGATTTGCTCCATTTCCCCTCTGTAGCTGTCTTACGATGTTTGAGCTGCTGTTAGCAATCCATCACCTCCTCTGGTTTCCCGAGGAATTTGGGAGGACAACCCTGGACTGCTCAAGTTTTCATCAGTAGCAGCCAGTCCCAGTGGCCAGGGCAAAAGGACACAGCACCAGGCTCCTCTCTGGAGCACAGCATTCCTGCCTCTGGTAGCCCAGTCAGAAGTGTTAACTGAAGGGACACCACATCCCCATGCTCATAAGCAGCTTATAAGTCATACTGTTCCAAAGGAGTTTGCAAAGCCAAAAAATTCAATGCATTAAAAAAAATAAAAAAAAAATCTGCACTTTATGAATCTCAATGGAGATGCAACTGTTTGGATGGAAAATTCAGAAGAAATGAAGGAGAGGCAATTTAAGCAGTCAGATTGCTGGAGTTATGGCAACTTGGCAGTGGCAGCTTCAAAATGTGGGGACAGATCCTGTGCGGTAGAAGTTCCCTTCACCTGCTGCGGGAGCCAAGACCAGCCTGTAACAGCATCAGCAACCTACACCCCGAGCTGGGGGAGCCTTGAATGGGAGCAGAAAGTCAAAATGGGCTGCAAAATGGCAGCGATTCGGCGGCAGCTGGTGCTAAGGGAGAAGCAAGGTTCATTTCAAGGAGATTATAGTAGCCCCTGTCAAACAGGGGAGGTTTTTTTTTTTGCAATCTTTACCAATACAGCTCCGATACCAAAACACAGTTCTAGTTAAGAAAGCCCTCATCTCCTCACTCTGCTTTCAGTAACTTATTTATTGCCTTCCCCAGCTTAAATAAATAAATAAACGTATAGATAATTATGTCTTTTTGGGGCCTGAAGTCACATAGATTCATTCCCTTCTTCTAGGATTGAAAGATTTACAAAAGCCTGAAGAAACCTCCTCAATCATTTTTATTTGAAAAAACATGGAAAACCAATAATTCCTCAGGATGAAAAAATCAAAGTAAGCTTTATGAGTTCTGACTTTTTTTTTTTCTCCAATCAGGTCGTTAATTCAGTTGCTGAGGTGACAGACACATATATGAGACTCTCCAAAGATGAGGCAAACATGTAAAGTTGTCACATTTTGCGGGCCAAACATTGCTGGGTGTCACTGGTGCAAAGAAAAAGGGGGTAAGGGCTCACACTCTTCCACTGCCACAATAACCCCAATCTCGGAGTATTTTCAGGAGCTGGGCTTCTAACCCGGATTAATTAATTCAAGATTTACAACAGTACAACTAAGCAGCATCTAATCCATGTCCTTTGGAAAGTTAACCCTCAGCTAAGCCCCAGCCGCTCTCAGCGAGGAGGAGAGGACACGGGAGCCGGAGAGGAGCCGGGACCTCGTTCAGCCGAAGCTCTCGCAGCTCGCCTGCTCTTCCTTTGGGCAGCGAAACTCCTCCGATTCATTCGTTCCCTGCGTGCAGGAGATGCTCCTCGCATCTCTGCCGTGCTGTCACTCCGGGCACGCTGACACCACACGGAAAGCCGCGACTGAATGCACGGGCACCCTCGTCACAGCCCGGCCGGGGCTCCCAGGGCAGCAGCACTGCCCGATCCTGCTCTTCCAGCCCCGAACGCCTCCCGCTTTAACCGGGCTCGCCCAGCCCGCGTACGCCGAACGCGGACCATGCAAGTGTGCTCCCCTCCGGTCCTGTCAGCCCGGGCAGGACCGAGCCCTTCTCCTCCAGGGCAGAGCCCGGGAGCACGGCGTGACCCAGGGGGAAAGGAGCCGCCGGTCCCCCAGCCGTGACACGAACCACGCGTCTGGTTCCCCTGGGGAGCATCGCTCCCCTCGCTCCCCATGGGATGCTCCAAGTTGGCGACGGGACAAAGGGCCGGTACCGCCGGGGCACCCCCGGTGAAGCGGGGCCGGGGGGTCGCGGCTGGGGCTGCCGCTGTCCGAGACCGAGCGGAGGGAGGAGAGGGGGAAAACCAAGCCCAGGGGTTACGGAAAGGGCCCCAGTGCCCCCCTGTAAAGGTCCGGTACCAAACTTGAAGGGGAACGCGATGGGGTGGGGGTCCCGAAAACCGCCGGGAACTTCTTCCCCGGGCGGCGGCATCGCGCCCAGGTCCCGCCGGAGCAGCCGCGGCCCCGCCGCCCCTTCCTCACCTCCGGCGTGTGTCCCTCGGGCTCCGGCGCCTCCAACTTCCTCCGCGCCCCGAAGAAGAAGAGGAGGAGGGCGGCGAGCCATAGCACCCCCAGCAGAGACAGCGCCAGCCGCCGCGTCGGCCGCCTCATCCTCGGCAGGAGCGAAAAGTCCGGCGGGGGCAGCGTGAGGCGCTGAGGGGGAGCCGCGGGCGGCTCGGGGGGCAGCGGCAGCGGGGCTGGCGGGCAGCCCGGTCTCGCCCGCCCGCCTCAGAGCCGGCGATGCGAGTCCCGGGCTGTGCATGCTCTGCAGGGGAGGGGAGGGGAGGAGGAACGGGAGGAGGAGGAGGCGCCGGGAGGAGGGGGGCTGGAGCCGGAGCCGCTCGCCGGGAGAGGTGCAGCGCGCAGGCAGCCGGGCTGGTCCCCGGGGAGCTGCCGCTCTGCTCGCTCCGCGCCGGCGGGGAGGCAGCCCCGGGGACGGGGACAGCGAGGGGTGCGGGGGTGTCCGTGTGTAACCGGGGACGCCCGTCCCTCTGCCCTGCCTCCCTGAGCGAGCCCGGGCCGCTTGCACGCCAAGGGATGCGCGGGGCTGGGCGAGTTTGGCCCGGGTCGGTCCCGGTGCCCGTCCCCGCCCGACTCCGGGGCGAGAGGAGGCCACCGTTCAACAACACACAGAGGAGGCTCAGACATGATGGGAAGATTAATTTAACCAATTGAAACAGCAGGGGGAATTCAGGTAGGTGGAATTTAATTACTGGATTTGGAAGAGAAGATGTGTGTCTCCAGAGCTGTCAAGAACACTTAAAAAATAAAATCATAATCATCAGCTGTTGGTATTCCGGCAGCAGCTTAGTGCCGGGCCGTGGTCCTGCAAGGACGGCCCTCAGCTGTCATCCCTGTCCCATGGGGTGTTCCCTGCTCACTCCATACACAGCCCCAGCACAGCAGGCCTGCCCACACAGGGCAGCCAAAGTGGGAATTACAGGTGAAAAAAACACCTAACACAACTACAGAAAAGAGCTGTCTCACCCAGCTATCCCTGCTCACCTGCCTGAAGCTGCTCCTCCGATCTCGCCACTGACAAGTATTACATGAGCTGAGCAAACCTTTGCAGAAGACATTAGAGAATAAATTAAGTATTGGAGCAGATGTGAGTCATTCATGTTAGTGCAAAAACTATAGAACAAACCCCATAAAAACAGGAATCCATGCATAAAGTAACATATGGAATGAAATAGAGATAAGATGTCAAATGCTGGAAAGTCCAATGCACATGTTGTAAACAACCTCTCCTATGCATTTCCCCACACACTTCTCCTGGCTTTATTATTTCCTGCAGTTGTTTTCTGTCACTTGCTAATTTATCATTTGCGATCTTCATCCTCTGTCCTCCTCTGATTTATTTCCAGGGCTCAATAAGCCCTTCACCCTAACATAATCCATGCCTCTCAGGCCCAACATTCACAGAAAGATGCCCAGATAAAAATTTCATTAGCATCTACAAAAAGGGACATTTCTCTTTCTTTGTTTTAAAGCTGTATGACTTTGAAACACCTTTACCAGAAGCAGGAAATCCAGGTCCATCAGGCAGTGAATTTGAACTTTGCTTTACAGCCAAGCAAGAGAAGAACTAACCAGGTGGGAAGAGGGCAGAAAGCTCTCATGCCCTGGTGAGCCACCAACCTGATGCCACATGGGAAGCCCACACCAACCTGGAAACGCAACCTGTTCCCACGCCGTGCATCATTTCTCATGCCAATTAACCTTCCTTAGCCCCAAATTCAGGGTGGCTGGAGCATCACACTGCACCTCTGCCACCATGAGGCATCTCTGCCCAACCTAGCTGGGACCCACAGGTGCTGCTCTCTCCAAAGTGCTGCCTTATGCTCCTTCCTGACAGCCAAGGTAAAACACCTGAGCAGCTTTCAGCAGCTGAGGCACATCAGTGATCGCTTTTACATGGCTTATAGTTGTTTTCTTGCCTTCCTGCTGTTGGGACAGACTGGTTGCTACCTCTCACATCCCTCCTTTGGATCAGGAATGGCTTTCTGACCAAAAAGATCACCTTGCCACAAGTAGAAAATAGCCACAAGTATTTTCCTGCCTGGGACAAAGTGACCTTGGCTGCTGGTAAATAAACAGTGCTCCCCCAACACATTTTCAGAGGGTGCTGAGTTTTTCCTACCAGACCTCCCTCTGTGCAAGGAGAGTTTTTCCAGATAAAGGCACCTGGAGGGTGTTATCATTCAAAGCTGGATTAAAAACCTTGTCTTTTTTGTAGGTCAGGCTTTCAGGGGAAGCTATTACAAAATACAGAGGGGAAGTATAGAAAATATCAAGGAAATACATTACAAATTAGATTACAGGTAAGGTAATAAATAGGACATACCTGACAAAAATGCAATCAGATAATGCTTTTCTTATTACCTTGAGAAACAACTCCCTCTGCTGAGGGAAAGCTTCACTGGCAGGGCTCGGTGCCGTGATGGATAACTCGCTGTTATCCCGGCAAAGGGCCAATGATTCCCTGCTGGCACTGCCACCATTCCATCCAGGGGGGGACACTGCAAATCCCAGCTCTGTGCAGCTGTCCCTCTGGAGGCAGGAGACCCCAGGAGCTCTGGCAATGCGTCGTTCTCAAGGAAGGATTTTCCTCCTGACGGTGTGCCTGTGTGCTGGGACAGATAATATGTCATGCAGATGATGGAAACAGCTATTTAAACAAGAATACAAATCTGGAGGTTCAGAGACTTGTATAAAAAATAATATTAATAAAAAAGTCTTCTGTTGTATTATTGACCCATATCTTTCCCGTTTCTCTAATTTTTTTTATCTGCCAATCTCAGCTGCTTCACGAGTGAGGTCCATAACGTATAACCTGTTTCCAACACAAGAAAATTTACAGGCAGTACAGCCAGAGACAGAAAAACAATCTGGGAAATGGGTGGCTGGCATTTGTTGGTATCAGCGTTGTAAAGCTGATGAAAATGATTGCTTTGTGAAAGGAAAAATATTTTGGACATGATTTCTGAGTGGGAGGGGGACTCTTCACAATCACAGCTTCAGACAGTGGCCCTTCAGGTCCTTTGAGGGATGGGTGGGAGGGGAAAGTGGCTTTCTTTGCTGTTTCAAGGACATGTGTAAAGCATATTTGAAGGGAATCTAACCTCACTGGGTCTACAAACCAGCTGGACACTGCTTCAGTGCAGTTTTTACTAGGAATACTCTTGGGTTTGAGTTCAGTTCACATCTGAGATTCCATTCACAGAATGCTTCTTTTCCAAAAGGATCACAAATACTTTGCAGTTTTTTCTCAGAAAGTTGAGAGGGGCTCCAACAGAGTCGAGAAGTGATCAGAGGAAAGGATCAAAATCCACCCCCAACTTGAGGATACTGAGGAGTCTCAGCTGAACATGGGAGGCTATTGTGAGATGGGGGAGCTCCACTGAGCTCTGGATTGAAAGGGGCTTCTAGGACAGAGCTCCCCTGCCAGGGGAGGATCTGGATCAGGCAGGGGTAGCTTTAACCAAGAGTCTGGTTCAACATGGGGTAGCTTTAACCAGGAGTCTGGTTCAGCTTGGTGTGGCGCAGCACTCAGTGCTGTTCATGGCAGTGCACCATCTCCCCATGATGAGGTGCTGCCTGCAGTAGCACATATATCAGAAAGACTCTGCAAAAAAATAAGACATCAGCATTTGAAAGGGTCAGCATGGTGATAGGTGGTTACACAGGGGGCTGGATTTCATTCAGTGGTGCATCCTCCAGGCTCAGGGGAAGAAGCTCATTCAGAGGTTTCTCTCCCCACCTGGCAGAAGGTGTGCTGCTGTGCTCCCAAATTGCTGTTCTGGCAGGTGCTGAGCACTGGCCTGTTTCAGCAGGAGCCCAGCTGTCCCTCGTCACCAGCAGCAGAGGTGCCAGCCTGGGTGCAGAAGAAGCTCCAGGACAACAAGCCAGCACGTGCCCTGGCCCAGCAGCACCCCAGAGCCCCAGCCTGCTCCCAGAGATGACTCAGAACCATTTGATACCCCTCTGTGGGTGGAGCTGTGCTTCAGATGTGAACAGTCATGTCAGGGACTTCCAGGTTTATATTTAATACAGGAACAAAGTTCCCTTTTCCGACCTGTAACTGTTCAAAATGCCTCCAGGTCATCTGGTCAGTGTGAGGAGAGGGAGGGCAGAAGTCCCTTGCACAGGAGCAAGGAGGTTGTTGCTTTGCCATGGGGGTCCCCAGCTCTGCAGCACTTGACACCGCCGTGCTGTGGCCCTGTGGAAAGCTGCTGCATGGGTGCAAGTGTGTGCTGAGCTGATGGTTCCTACCCACAGCTAAATCTCACACAGCCCTCAGCATTGTGAGGGCAGCCAAGGCTCTCTGCCACCTCAGGCAGTGCTCTGCCATCTCAAAAAACAGCGTTCATGATGGCTGTTGAAGATAATGTGAACAGTATTCCACATTTTTTGTGGCAGGAAAGATCTGCCTTTGTGCTGTAACAGAAGCCAAAAAAATCAGACCATTGCTTATATGAAAAATGTTCTCTCTGTGTGCCCTTGGAGAACACCAAAAATGTTAGAGAGAGAGAGCTTTGGCCTAATACCAGGAGAATTGTAAGTTAAAGTATTAAAAAAACAAAACCAAAACTTTTTATTGGCTGTCTCCTCTCCCTTGCTGAGGTAACAGAATTGTAGCTTGTCCTACATCTGCAGCTTAAGTGGGAGGGTCAAATGTGAAGCTGTGAAGCACTCACCTTCTCCTCTAGGGTGATGATGTTGCTGTGCACCTCCTCACCTACTGCTGCACTTAGAAAGGGAAGTGCAGGATTTCCTGCAGGCTTTTTGCCACTATCAGTGTTGCAAGCAGATCTCTTCCAGTACCTCTGAAGGATTTTTTTTCCTTTTAATTAAACCGCAAGCATTCTTCTCCAGCAAACTTTCCACGACGGCATCTCCAGTTAATTAAACGTTTAAGCTGTCAGGAAATGCCATGCATAAAAAAAAAATAAAATAAAGAGGAGAGCTGCTTTAATAGCATTTGTTAATTGAAACTCTCATCAAGTCAGCTGCAGCAACAGAAGCTGCTTCCCAAGTCGATGGGCAAGAGCACACACCCAGACATTTGCCTGCAGCTCCTACAAGTCAGGCTCCCACCTCCAGGCTACTGTCTGTGGCACTGATGGATGAGGCAGC